GTTTGGTTTTGCTTCTGTCCTCAAAAAGTGTGTCATAAATTAATATTCTGCCTCTGGCAGTAGCCAAATATGTCCAAGAGTTCCAGAAGAATGGCATAAAAAATGTAGGAGAAAGGGCAACTTATACATGCTTGGGATGACCACTGCTCAATATTTTTTCTTTTAATATTGCTGATTTGGGATAGTTTATTTTCAGTTTATTCATTTTATTTGTATTATGAATATATTGGCATAATATGCATCACGGGGTATGTGTGTACATGTGTATACAACCTATATTCAAAATAGCTGGGGCATCTGAATAGATGAAAAAAGTTAAATATAAAATTAAATAAGATCAATCCCCAAATCTATCTAAAATTTAGCTTAAAGTTTATCTTCCTGGATGTTTCAGAGATAAAAGGGTTCTAAGTAGTGGGGGAGAGAAGGAAGGGAAGCAAGTCTGTGCACTCACAGTTAAGAGGGAGCTCTCTGCCACATGTCACACGTACCTCCTAGGGGTGAAGTATGGATCATGCCATGTTTTCAGCAGGAGGTCTCCAATCATATGGGTTCAGAAACTACCTGAAGTTTAATTAGGTGCCTTGAGGGAGGACCATCTCAAGTTCCGACATGAAATAAATAAATAATAGGATATTAATAAATGTATGTAAAATTAAATAAGTATGCTTTTATTAAACAGAAGAGTTGATATCCAGTTATTTGAAAGGATGAATAAAATGGAATTGGCAGATGGAAGCAAATAGTAAATTAATTATTAGTGTTCCATCTTCTGCTTAGAAAAATCATCTCTGCAAATGACTCATACCCATGAAAATATAACAGTCAATTGTTTGTGAAAAGTAAAAGCATAAACTTAGCTGCATTTACTAAACATTCAGACATTTCAGGATGCATTCAGGAACTCTTTGTGCATATAATTCTTTGGTTGGTAAAAATTACCTGAAAATTGACCTCATTTACTTTCATTAATGGGCTGCTATTAATACTGGGTTTTATATGATTTCTTCTCTTTGTTTTACAAATAGGGATGACCCTTCTACTGAATTTAACTTGAAGGTCTATGCAAATACCAAGGACTTAAAAAATGCCATTGAGAAAATACCCCAAAACGGAGGCTTATCAAATGTTGGTAGGTAGCTGATACGTCACACCAAATCTGCTTAAGAATCAGATGCCAAGATTTGTTGCTATGCTTCATGTTCTGGACAGATTCAACTCAAGATCACCACCTGCCTCACTCATTCTGGGCTGTCTTCTCCAATATTGGGGGAGGAAAGATGTTCCAAAAATCAACAATTCTGAATTCTGAAAGAAGTAGCCAATGTAAACATACATTTTATTCCACAGTATAAAGACACTCATTGTGTTTTGGGATCACCATTTATCAGCCTAGAATTTCAAACAAAAGATGCCAGAACTGTATTACTTTCCATCTTCTAAAACTTATCATGCAGATAGTATAGAACCTTTCGTCTTGGCTACAAATCCAAGTAGTTTCTGTAGGAGAATTTCTTGTTGGATCAGAGCCGCCTGAGTATGTGAAGTTGATATACATCTGCAGCTTCAGACACATTTGGTTGAGACAATTATTTGCTTCATATGTTTTTAATGGACATGAATATTTCCATCATAATATAGACGGAAACTTTATTTCAGCTATTGTTCCTGGCTGAGTGCATATTTCTATTCACATTTCAAGGGAAACCTGTATTCCTATCAAAACCAAATGCAGATAATGGCTTTACGTCTAATTGATCCTGACAATAAGAAGTTTCCTATTGATATCTGCTGCATCTTCATGCTGGGTTTGGGTTGTTCTTTGGTTTGGTTTTGCTTCTGTCCTCTATTCTATCATTTCTAGACTTAATGATACGCAATACAATACCAAATAAATAAATAAATAGTAACTAGCCCTTTAAAGATTTACTAAAGGAAGGAACAACTCTTTCCCCTCTACCATCCTTTCTCACAGGAAAAGCACTGTCCTTTGTTAACAAAAACTTCTTTGATGACTCCAACGGCAACCGAGGTGGTGCCCCCAATGTGGCTATAGTGGTGGTGGATGGATGGCCCACCGATAAGGTAGAAGAAGCCTCCAGGCTGGCAAGGGAGTCTGGCATTAACATTTTCTTTGTCACCATTGAAGGACCCAATGAAAGTGAAAAGAAGAATGTCATTGAGACAAACTTTGTGGACAAGGTAAGCGAGAGGGGAATACATAGGAAAGTGGCAGATTTTGGAGTGTGCATGTATTATTCTAAGAAAATATGGGGTCTAATCACTTTTCCACATATGGCATGATCCATACCGGAACAGCCTATAGTCGTTTGGCCAAATATACAAGCATGAACAAAATAGCTATTTCACAGTCTTGGGACTCAGTTCTGCCAAGCATTGTGATACCATTAATAACATAACGTACATTAAGGTACGCTACAGTTTGCTTTTGAATGTAAAAAGGAAAACTGGAAAACTGTTCTTGAATGGTAGATTTTTAAAAGAAAGTTGATGAAAACTGGACAACCACATATTATAGGGTGAAGGGGCTTTTATCCTTTGCCTCTGCAACAGTTCTAACTGGATTTGTTGTATGCTGCCCAGAGTCACTTTTATGTGAGATGGGTGGCTATATAAATATGATTAAATAAATAAATAATAAATAAATAAATTCCCTACCCCCATCCCTACATGTGCCTACTATTCACAAGAAAGGAAAGTTTCCATTGGAATCAGAAGCTTTTTTCCTCTTATTGCAAAAACAAAAAACTAGGAATGGTGAAGTTCTAGTGGAACAGGGGTGGTGTTTCTTTAACAGTACAAGAGCAAACATCAGGCCCATACGGAGGTTCAGAGAGTGAAAGAGAGAAACTGCACAATTCCAGCAGCAAATCACTTCTCCGTCTAAAACTCTGGAATTTCAGATCATGCTTTGTGGATGCTGTGTGCTGTGGCCTCCCAGTGGATTTTTAAAATTTTTAACTTTATTTTTTGCAATACGCATGAAAGTTCTGGATGTACCTTGGTTAGAACTTGTCCTCATAAGCTCTAGAGTTTAGACTGAGTACATTTTACAGAATGCCTATTCAACTAAGTGGTATTCATATGACCTGGAATTCTTCCTGAAGGCTTGGCAAAGGAAGCCACCTTCAAAAAATAAAGTTGACTTTGGGAAATGCAAAAATAACTTTTCCTTCCCTGGACATTCCTTCTGATCGTTTTGTGCACTTTCCTTCATGTATCTGCCATGGAACACATTTCTTCTGAACTTTGAAGTGCTTTATATCTTAAGACTGGGCAGGCTCCAGCTGACTTGACTAATTATTTTGATTTTATTTAAATTTGAACAGGGCAGAACTACAATGAGCCTCTGTGAGGCAAGAAAGAAACACAAATTTGTATGCAGTGATTTATGATAGCTGCATCGTAGAAAATAAAGGACTGCATGAATCTGTAAACCACTCATGTGATAGAACAAAGTTTGTCTATCTATCTATCTATCTATCTATCTATCTATCTATCTATCTATCTATCT